CCAAATTACCCAACTCCTGAGAGGAATCTAACGTAAATGAATCAAGATCGAGATTCTTGGACTTCTTCGATTCCCATAAATCCCCATCCTCTGTGAAATCAAAAACCTTATAATCCCTGACCTTGCTTTGAGGTGGAACCACATGTTCCTCCAACTCCTGCGATGAATTATAATCATATGGATCTGGATTAACCTCACCCCTGGCCCTTTTCCTAGATTTCCCAAAATCCCCACCAAGTTCCCAGCCATCACCTTGACTTTCGGGATCTCTTGACTGAGAAATACCCAAGTCACTCAACTCCTGAGACGAGTTGAAGCCATAAGAACCATTATCAACGTTCTTGGACTTCCTCGATCCCCACAAGTCCCCATCCTCGGGAAATTCAAACACACTATCCTCCCCCCCCCCTTCCTCCGAGGCGGCACGCCCAAATCGTCCACCTCTTGCGATGAATCATAATCAAAAGGATCGGTATTGACCTTCTTCATCACCCTCGATCTCTGCGAACCCCCTTCACCAGAAATCCTCAAAATCCCGAATTTCTTCGATTCTTGCAAAGAATTTTCATCGGAGGCCCTTGAACCGGCTCCAATTACCTTCAATTTCTTCGAGTTACGAAACTCATCCCCTTCCTTCCATGGCGGCAGAAACGCCGCCGATCGCCCCGAATCCTGAGATGGGTCGAAATCGTACGGATTGGACGGAAACGAGAAATCGTAAACATCCTTCGAGAATTCTTGGGAAGAAGATCCCGAAACTCCATCGGAAAAGCCACTGGACGAGCAACTCCGGCCCAAGCCACGACCCCGGCGACCGTAGGTTCTGAACATCATGCTACCTCTCGAATTCAAACCCTAATACCAAAAAAATATAGGAAAAATGGGGAAAAAGACCCCGAAAAAAATTGCTTCTCTCGATTTCAACTCCCTTTTGGAAGAATTTGAAAATACAAATGGCTCATGTGATTTCTGATGAGGAGATGCGATTTTCCATTTTAGGTTGAGATTATTGAAAGCAGAGATGAAAAGCAGACAATTGGGGATAAAAATCTTGGGTGTGCGGAGCTCGAGTGTAAGGGTATTTATATGGAGGGTATTTTTGTCATTTGAAATATATTAGAAAGATGAGGAAATCCTAGCCGTTGATGTGAGTTTTATCTATAGTCGCTTTAGTTGCCTAGTTGGCAATATTTGTAGAATTTTGAATCTTTTTGTCAAAAATACCCTTGAAATGCACATGTAATTAGAGGTGGCTAGGTGCCGGGTCCGGGCCCGGCCCGGCCTGCCGGGTCGACGGGCCTCAATTGGTGGGCCCGTAACCGGCCCGGCAATTCCTATGGGCTGGTTCATTTGAATCGGCCCGACCCGGCGGTTCGTCGACCCGCCGGGTTAAAAAAATAAAAAATAAAAAAATAATAAAAAAACAACGATGACCCGTCGGAAAAACCGATCCCGGCACGGCGGGTCAAATAAAAAAAAAAAGAGAACCTTAACCGGACCGCATTGGACGCGGTCCGGTTCAAAAGCCCGCCACTATTCATGCCGGTACCAGTGTCGGTTCGGTCCGGGCCGGTACCGGTTCGCGGGCCGGGCCACGGGTCGGGCCGACCCGTGGCCATGTCTACATGTAATGAGACCACCGGCGAATTTTTTACTAAAAAAAAAACACAAAATAAGTGGACAAAAAAAAAGGAAAAAAAAGGTGTGGAAGAAAATAAAAACCACGTATTCAAGGAATACGTTTTCTAGATAAATTATCTAGAAAACGTATTCCTTGAATACGGCTTAAATAAATTTTCAAACGAAAACGTATTCCTTGAATACGTTTACGTTAATTATCCTAATTAAGTAAATTAATCAACATCAAAACGTATTTCCTAAATACGTTTTTAAATTATTATTTTTTTTAATTGTTTTTAATTACCAAAATGTATTTACAAAATACGTTTTACTTTTTTTCTGAATTTTTTAAAACATAAGAACGTATTTCATAAATACGTGTAAAATTTCGTTTTTTTTTTTTATTTTTTAATCATTAAAACGTA